GTGTATGGTTGTGGTGTATGGTGATGTTCTCACCTAATTGTGCTTGCGGGGGTTGAGCTCTGGCTCTTTGGTCCCGCCTCTCAACCGTCAATCAACAGGTGTACAGATTCCTGAGCCTATTGGGCTCTATCATATCTACACTTGAAACTGTGTATGGAGTCAGCCTCCACCACATCACTTCCTAATGCATTCCATTTATTAACTACTCTGACACTGAAAAAGTTCTTTCCAATGTCCCTGTGGCTCATGTGGGTACTCAGCTTCCACCTGTGCCCCCCCCCCCTTCCCCTCTTGTGGGGTGTATGCCACCACGAGTGGTGTCATACACCAGGGTAGATAAAGACAGGCTGTTTAACACAAGGGGCACACACACAATGGGACACAGGTGGAAACTGAGTGCCCAAATGAGCCACAGAGATATTAGAAAGAACTTTTTTAGTGTCAGAGTGGTTGACAAATGGAATGCATTAGGAAGTGATGTGGTGGAGGCTGACTCCATACACAGTTTCAAGTGTAGTTATGATAGAGCCCAATAGGCTCAGGAATCTGTACACCTGTTGATTGACGGTTGAGAGGCGGGACCAAAGAGCCAGAGCTCAACCCCCGCAAGCACAAACTAGGTGAATACAACCCCCCCTGTGTGGAGGGGGTGTAATGTTGTGGTGTATGGTGATGAGAGAGTAATTACAGGACGTGTGTTGGTGCGCATATGCACGGCACGTGTGGATGGCTGCAGGCAGTATTGATCAGTAAATGCAACAAGGATTGAATGACATGCCGCTCTCGCCCCACCCCCCCCATCCCTCCCCCCTGACCCTCCCCTTTGGCACCCATTACCCAGTCATACTGGCTAGCTGAAGCCATTATTATTCTGCTCCCATTATCTACTCATACTAGCTATTTGGCCCATTATTATTGTGTTTGTGCGTTCATTACCAAACTCCCACCCCCTCTACAGTGTGTGTTAGTCTGGCCCTGCTCATGGTGGTGACACCTGTGGCCTTACTCACCATGGTGGCAGCTTGCCACACCTGTGGCCTTATTTCCAGGCTCCCAGCAGCCACATCCAACAGCCTTGTTGACCAGACGACCAACCGGAAGGCCTGGTCGGAGGCGGGGCCGTAGGTTCCCGGAGGCTACGCGAGGTAGACACAAGGTGGGTAGAGGTACCGAGCAAGACGAACCCTTGGGAAGAATATAAAATATGCAGCAAGACCTGCCTGAAGGTGATGGAAGAGGCAGCCATAGTTGGCAAGGGAAACAAGTTCAGAGATTCTAATTCTTGAGGATTTTAATCTCTAGGAAATGAATAGTTGGTGATCACCTCATGGGGGCGATGAAACATTGAGAGGAAAACTGGGCTCTTGGCAGAGAAATACTTCCTTGAGACTACTTATCACAGAGCTAACAAGAAGCTGAGATTACTCTCCAGCAACACAAGATCTGGCCATATACTATAGACGAGTCTGATGTTTAGAAGACAGTATGAACTGCTGGAGAAAACAGCATGAACTTTAATGAAGAGAAGTTCCAGTGTCAGCACTATGGTTGATATGAAGAAATCAGTGCTGGAGCTGTATATTATTGCTGTCAAATCACACCATAGAAGGTAGGAACATATCCTCATACAACCATTTCTCAGGATACCTGCTTGATGGGACCTTAACTTAAGGTATCTCAGGATACCTTAACCTGCAGTTAAAAGCTTTGTTCCTCAGAGTAGTCATTGCACCACTGCTTTTCCTTATTCTCATATCATATTTAGGCTCAAATACAAGTCACAGCTTCGTATCATCCTTCGTATCATTGCAGATGACACAAAAATCAGCATGAAAATTACCTCTGCTAAACACATTGAAAAACTTCAAGCAGATATTAATAAAATTTTCAACTGGGCAGCAGAAAATATCTGCTGGGGAACTGGTTATCTACATTATTGAGCATATTCATATTATTTTTTTGGGGGGGGGGGGGCAATAAGCCTGACATGAACCAGGGATACTTGATTAAATCCAACCATATACTGTATTGGAGTTTCAATTGCATATGCTATTTGGAATGTATAAAACTTACAACCTTGCATATACGGGTGTGTGTACATGTTCAGGATTATAACACTATTAGTTGTACTGTATTATTTCTCATGTTATATATATATATATATATATATATATATATATATATATATATATATATATATATATATATATATATATATATATATATATATATATATATATATATATATATATATATATATATATATATATATATATATATATATATATTATATATATATATATATATATATATATATATATATATATATATATATATATATATATATATATATATATATATATATATATATAATATTAGTATAATTATAGCATTTAGTATATAGTAGTATAGTATAACTACTATAGTAGTTATAGTAATTAGGTTAGTAAAACTAATCATATTTATTTTCAGCATTGTGGCCAAGCGTTTTTTTTTTTTTTTTTTTAATTTTTTTTTATTATTTTCTACCACAGACGTGGCCACACATTTACAATGCTAACCAGCATATATACATTTTCTTCTGTCCTCCATGGACAGGGTTAGAGAAATGTTAAACATAGAGTTCAAGGGTTTATTGAACCAAGCGGTGACAGTTTTAGAAATGTGTATAAAATATATTTTATAGGTTGTTACCAAGTGTGATACAGTAATACAACCACCAGTATTAGAAAGTAGAAATGGGTACTATTGAATTTGGACAATCTGGGAAAATTATTTTTTAATGTTGCAAAGACAAACTAACCTACCTAATTAGACAAACTAATTACCTAAGTGTAGTTACAGGATGAGAGCTATGCTCGTGGTGTCCCGTCTTCCCAGCACTCTTTGTCATATAACGCTTTAAAACTACTGACGGTCTTGGCCTCCACCACCTTCTCACCTAACTTGTTCCAACCGTCTACCACTCTGTTTACAAAAGTGAATTTTCTTATATTTCTTCGGCATCTATGTTTCGTTAGTTTAAATCTATGACTTCTTGTTCTTAAAGTTCCAGGTCTCAGGAAATCTTCCCTATCGATTTTATCAATTCCTGTTACTATTTTGTACCTAGTGATCATATCACCTCTTTTTCTTCTGTCTTCTAGTTTTGGCATATTTAATGCCTCCAACCTCTCCTCGTAGCTCTTGCCCTTCAGTTCTGGGAGCCACTTAGTAGCATGTCTTTGCACCTTTTCCAGTTTGTTGATGTGCTTCTTAAGATATGGGCACCACACAACCGCTCCATATTCTAGCTTTGGCCTAACAAAAGTTGTGAACAATTTCTTTAGTATATCGCCATCCATGTATTTAAAAGCAATTCTGAAGTTAGAAAGCGTGGCATAGGCTCCTCGCACAACGTTCTTTATGTGGTCCTCAGGTGATAGTTTTCTATCTAGAACCACCCCTAGATCTCTTTCTTTATCAGAATTCTTTGAAGATTTCTCACATAATTTATAGGTAGTGTGGGGTCTATGTTCTCCTATTCCACATTCCATAACATGGCATTTATTCACATTAAATTCCATTTGCCAAGTGGTGCTCCATATACTTATTTTGTCCAGGTCATCTTGAAGGGCATGACAATAATCAAAGTTTCTTATCTTCTCTATTATCTTAGCATCATCAGCAAACATGTTCATGTAATTCTGTATACCAACTGGTAGATCATTTATGTAGACAATAAATATCACTGGTGCAAGAACTGAACCCTGTGGTACTCCACTTGTGACATTCTCCAATCCGATATATTGCCTCTGATTACTGCCCTCATTTTTCTATTAAGAAATTTTCCATCCATGTCTATATCTCATATATATATATATATATATATATATATATATATATATATATATATATATATATATATATATATAAATGTATATATCTAGTATATAGAATATATACTTCTCGGCCTGCTATATATAATATATATTGCCTAATAGGCCGAGTGATTTTCTTTTTTCAATAAATTGTTTCCAATAGCCAGAAGCACTTTCTATTCAATTTGAATTATTATTTTCATATTATGTTTATATTACCTAACCCATAACCTTATTGACTTAGTTGTGTTAGTTTAGGTTAGGTTAAGATAGGTTAGGTTAGGTAGGGTTGGTTAGGTTCGGTCATATATCTACGTTAGTTTTAAATCAAATGAAACAAATTAACTTATACATAATGAAATGGACAGATTTATCATTTCATAAGAAAAAATTTAGATATATATATAAATTCAGGCAAACTTGGCTTATTAGGCAAATAGGGCCTTGCATAGTAGGCCAAGTATGATGTTCTGGCTACTAGGTATGACATATATATATATATATATATATATATATTATATATATATATATATATTATTATATATTATTATTATAATATAATTATTAATTTTGATATTGTGTATACTGTATACACAATTGTGAATTATTAATCTATATCCCTTGTACTTATTTATGCAACATAACAGCTTGAGTAATCTTTAACATTGAATAATTTGTTATTTTTCAAAATAGTATTACTCTTTGGCTTTTATTTGAACAGGATGTTTTATGTTTGTTATGTTGAGTTTCCTCATGGTGTGATAATTGGAATATGTGCACTCTTGTGCTGCTGCTGCTGCTGCTGCTGCTGCTCTACAAGATACATGTAGTTGGTGTTAGTGTTGCATTATTTGAGATTTACTCCGGTTTATGTTGCTTGTGTTTATGTAACCTAATTAATTGTGTCCACTTGATGCAGGCTAAATGATGTAGAGAAGATTGCAGCAGTTTGTGTTGTGTATTACTGTACTTAAGATGTGTATGTGATTTGATTGGCTGCCTCCCAAGCTATCCGTTTTGCTGTCAGTTGATAACTGCTGATATGTAGTGTTTACATTTTAGCAAGAATGACAGCTTAACTCAGAGTAGGGGAGCACCTGTTCGCTTGTTTCTTAACTGCTTCTCTTCCCCCTCCGTCAGAAGACGGTCACGGGAATTTGGACCTGTGCCGGGGGTTTAAGAAGCTGTTAAAGGGTCAAGAGATACAGGGCCCGTGCCTGAATGAGACTGTCATACAAGAGGCAACTCAACAAGGTAACTCCTCAACAGTTTCTTTGGTCCCTTGTCTTACTTGATAGTTACTACTGTATATGTATTCACAGTCTAGGCTTAAGATACTGTAGTATGGATTATGTTGTCCAGTCTCCATTCTTGGTGTTGTCATTGTCTTATAGCTTTGCTTTCAGATTTTTCAGAAATGTTTTAATTCTCGTTATTTGTCCTGCAGGTGCCTTAGACGAGGACGAGAGCGACAGCGAAGGGGCCGAGTTGGGAGGGTCGACCATTGTGACGCCCAGTGGCGAGACCCTCTCCTCTAATGAGAGACACCAGTTACGGCATCGTGAACTCTTCCTTTCCCGCCAGATAGAAACTCTTCCTGCCACGCACATACGCGGAAAATGTACGGTCACGTTACTCAACGAGACGGAGTTATTATTGGCCTATCTCAATAAAGACGTAAGTAGGGATCAAGCGATACAAAACGATGTAATCCCACGAGGCAGTTAAAATAGTGTTAGTAGTAAGCCTTGTTTCCTCTCTGTGAGTGTGATGTGTGTAATAAGCAGCCAGTGGTTGTTGAGTATAACAGTAGCAAGGAGCACTGATGCTTGCGCACAACTCCCTGCAATGTTGAGTATAACAGTAGCAGGGAGCACTGATGCTTGCGCACAACTCCCTGCAATGTTGAGTATAACAGTAGCAGGGAGCACTGATGCTTGCGCACAACTCCCTGCAATGTTGAGTATAACAGTAGCAGGGAGTACTGATGCTTGCGCACAACTCCCTGCAATGTTGAGTATAACAGTAGCAGGGAGCACTGATGCTTGCGCACAACTCCCTGTAATGGTGAGTATAACAGTAGCAGGGAGCACTGATGCTTGCGCACAACTCCCGGCAATGGTCAACACAGCATAATTATCATGTACCGTACTGTACACCACAGTAACCAAAATGTCAGGAATTGAATGGCATGGGGTAGGGTATTGCAATATAGTACTCTACTTTGAATCGACTTGAATAACAACTCTAATAAGTTGAATATACTTACACCCTAAACTATATAAATTTTCAATTACTGACAAAAAATGATATGATCGTCAGTGCCCAGAATTTCACAGCAATTATAGACAGAAAGCTCAATATGATATTACAGTACTAGAAATTTTTTAGAGACGGGCGGAAACAGAGTAGAACGTATAAGAGAGAGAGGAACAGGCAGATTGAACCACTGCAGGATTACAGAGGGGAAAGAGATACCCACAAGACTGGAATACAAGTCGTCATCAAGCACACAACACCCGTACTACTACCAACACTGGACCAACCACTACCAAAACAGCACACCCTAGACCAGGGTGGAGGGGGGGGGGAACTACCAAAGCCCACCAGAAGTTATGCAATATGGGAAATCATTCATATTTGCAAACATATAAGGCCTAAAGTCAAAATCAAGAAATAAAGTTCATAAATGGCCTTCTAATAAAAATACTCAGTATTTGGTGCAGTTACAGAAACCCACACGAAAGACTACATGGATGCCAAATTATAATCTACTGTATATATGTGACAGTATTTAGGTTAATTTGAGTAGTAGGTCTGTAGATTAGAGGAACTGGTATGCACAGACCTCCTGAACTCGACCAATGAGGTGGTAGAAGTACTTGGAATGAAGGTAGGAAATATAAATCAAAATAGTTAACAAATTAATGGAAATGCTTAAGCAGGTTTGACTTTCCATACAGAGAAGGAATAATTTAAACGGGGAGATTGAAGAAATCGAACCGAGACTGAAGCATTCATATCAGATTAACACTTAAGTGTACCCCACCCGCTAGCCCTCAACTAGGCGCAGTTGGTCCCAGCGTTTCATGGGAGTGCGCGGTACTTCTGAAAAGTGTATACTCTCCAACTTCGTCACCTCAATTCTCGTCCAGGGTTTTTCAATTTGGCATCATTGTGTTCGCAGTAAAATCCCCTACAGGAGTATATGCAAATATAAAGTAAAAAAGCCAGGCGTACCACTACAGCAAACAGAGAAAGTGACGGAGCATAATCCCAGTGAGCGCTAATAAATCGGTATACTGTTTTCAACTTTGTTACCTCAATTCTGGTCCTAGGTCTTTCATTTTGGTATCAATGTATTTGCAATGAAATTCCTCTGGTCCTAGGTCTTTCATTTTGGTATCAATGTATTTGCAATGAAATTCCCTAGAAGAGTATATGCAAATATTATCCAAAACCGCTGTGCGCCCCTCCCGAAGCCACCGCCAATCTGCCGCCGAAAATGACGCAATGCTGCGTCGTTACCGGATGAAAGTGTTAAAGAAAGGCAACTAGAACAGAAAGCAATTCAAGAAAAAGAAAAAGCCAAAATAATTCTTCACATTTGCAAAATCAAAAGCAAAACCCACTGCCAGTATTGGACCTATTCGTACAAGTGAAGGTTCATATATCGAGGATGACAAAGAAATTAGTGAAATCCTGAAAAAGCAATATGAGGACATGTTTAGCATGTCCTCATATTGGGGAGCTGGTGGCTGAGTGGACAGAACACTGGACGCGTGATCCTGTGGTCCCGGGTTCGATCCCGGGCGCCAGTGAGAAACAATGGGCAGGGTTTCTTTCACCCTGATGCCCCTGTTACCTAGCAGTAAATAGGTACCTGGGGAGTTAGTCAGCTGTCACGGGCTGCTTCCTGGGGGTGGAGGCCTGGTCGAGGACTAGGACGCAGGGACACTAAAGCCTCGAAATCATCTCAAGATAACCAAGGTACCTGGGAGTTAGTCAGCTGTCACGGGCTGCTTCCTAGGGGTGGAGGCCTGGTCGAGGACCGGGCCGCGGGGACACTAAAAAGCCCCGAAATCATCTCAAGATAACCAAGGTACCTGGGAGTTAGTCAGCTGTCACGGGCTGCTTCCTGGGGGTGGAGGCCTGGTCGAGGACTAGGACGCAGGGACACTAAAACCTCGAAATCATCTCAAGATAACCAAGGTACCTGGGAGTTAGTCAGCTGTCACGGGCTGCTTCCTAGGGGTGGAGGCCTGGTCGAGGACCGGGCCGCGGGGACACTAAAAAGCCCCGAAATCATCTCAAGATAACCAAGGTACCTGGGAGTTAGTCAGCTGTCACGGGCTGCTTCCTGGGGGTGGAGGCCTGGTCGAGGACTAGGACGCAGGGACACTAAAGCCTCGAAATCATCTCAAGATAACCTCAAGAAGAAGCACTCCAATAAACAATATGAAAGTGGAAGATACGGACAATTTCTTTATGCATGATATCCAAACCCCTGTAAATATAACTGATATCAACACGAGCGTTTCAGATTTTGAAAGAGAAACTGACAACATGCCCATGCACTCAGCCCCGGGTCCAGACTTGTGGAATTCAATATTTATAAAGAAATGCAAAGTGCCAGTAGCACAGGCACTCAGTATAGTGTTGAGGAAGAGCTTGGACACGGGGGAAATACCAGATGTGCTTAAAGCAGCAGACATAGCCCCTCTACACAAGGGAGGCAGCAAAGCATTGGCAAAGAATTATAGACCAGTTGAATTTAGAATTTAGAAAAGAATTTAACAGTTACCAAGGAGGATGTTATTAAAAAAATAGTGAAACTCGAGCCAAACAAATCCCCAGGGCCAGACGAAGTATTTGCATGGTGCTTAAGGAATGCAAAGAGGAGCTTCACGAGCCATTGTCTACCATATTTAATAAATCATTAGAGTTAGGCAGAGTGCCAGAGTCTTGTAAGGTTGCTAATGTGGTTCCTATTTTCAAGAAAGGAGATAGATCACTTGTGTCAAACTATCGGCCAGTTAGCTTAACGTCTATTGTGGGAAAGTCAGAAAAATGATAGGATGGATTACAAGGACTTTCAGATCCAGGGATCCCATCACAATGGTTGTACTCATCAAATCACTTGTACTGTCCCATCTTGAGCACAGCTCAGTGCTCGCATTTCCCCTTCAGAGCAGGAGAGATTGCTGAAATAGAGGGAGTACAGAGCACATATACGGCACGCATAGACGCGATAAAGCACCTAAATTATTGGGATCATCTCAAAGCTCTCCAAATGAAATCACTAGAAAGGAGACTAGAGAGATACCAAATAATATGCACATGGAAAATACTGGAGGGCCAGGTCCCAAATCTACACAGTAAAATAACAATGTACTGGAGTGAACGATATGGAAGAAAATTTAGAATAGAACCAGTGCAGAGCAGAGGTGCCATAGGCACAATCAGAGAACACTGTATAAACATCAGAGGTTCGCGGTTGTTCAACGTCCTCCCAGCGAGCATAAGAAATATTGCTGGAACAACCGTGGACATCTTCAAGAGGAAACAAGATCTTCAAGAAACTAGATTTTCTTCAAGGAGTGCTGGACCAACCGGGCTGTGGGAGATATGTGGGCCTGCGGGCTGCTCCAAGCAACAGCCTGGTGGACCAAACTCTCACAAGTCAAGCCTGGCCTCGGGCCGGGCTGGGCTTGGGGAGTAGAAGAACTCCCAGAACCCCATCAACCAGGTATCAAGCAGGTAACCAAAATTCTAGTCGAGAAATTATGCCTCATGGGTTGGCTATCTTGTGATGCGACTGTAATTTATAAGAATGCTAATAAAGTTTGGCATAGAGGAGAAGGGAAATGTAATAGATGTGGAAGTAACAATATTAGAGCATGATTGTGGGAGAGTAATGTGAGAGCGTGGAAGTGGTGGGAGCAAGGAAGAAGGTTAAGAATCAGTTGTGTTAGAGAAGACTTTTAATAAGTACACTAGAGTAACTATGCAAGAATGCTGATGTGTATAATAAGAACTGTGAGCAAGAGATGTCTAGCCAGTTAGCATAATGGTTCAATACATGTAGTGTTAAGGGGGCGTCTGGTTGGCATCTGGGTCCAAAAATGCAAAAATGAAAACTCATTCGATTTCAATCAAACTTTTTTGACAAGTTCTATATGAAAAGTGTTTCATCTGGTCCACGTTTCAGCATTGTAGCATAAATAGGAAGGGAGAAAAAAAATATTGAAGTAGTTGTGAAAATTATGCAAAAATGGTCAAAATCGATTATCAATCAAAAGTGTCAACTGAAATCATAACTACAACTCTTTGCTATCACAATAGCATATATTAAACAAATATTATTATTAGTTTAATTGGAAAAAAAATTTAAGGAAAAAAAAAAAAAAAAAGGATTTTTTTTTTTTTTTTTTTTTAAATATTTTTTTTTTCTCATTTTTTTTGGGGCGATTTGCATCAAACTTACACACCTGACTGTACGTAAGCCTATCTGTAAGGATGCCAATTTTGGAGAAAATTGGTTGATGTCAACCCCAGCCACAGATTTTAGAACCTTAGACTTTATTCATTTCTGTTTTTTTTTCAATTGACACAAACGTTTACAAAACTCATTCTTTTTTTATTCAATTTACATGAAACTTACACAGTATATGTGGAGGGCATGTCTCTACATTGGGGGGCTTTCATTTTTCTCTAAGTTCATTTATTGATTTTATAATAGCAATAAACATGCCATATTTGCAAAAAAATTTTGGGGAACTTTGAACATTTGTATTAGGAAAACTAAAGATGTTTTGGAAATTCTAAATCCCCAAATCCTTTATTATATGCTAATGTGTCAGAAAAGTGTCACAGAATAATTTTATCTGAAACGTGTGTTCTGAAGTGTGAACTTGAAAATGTGTAAAAAACGTTCAAAAAAAAAAAAAAAAAAAAAAAACTCCCTCTCTATTTACGCTGCAGTACTGAAACTTGGGACAATTTAAGCACTTTTCATATACAACTGGAAAAATAATATTGGTTGACATTGAACAACTTTCATTATAATAACCAGACGCCCCCTTAAGGCACTAATCTGGAAATTGTGTGGAGAATGTTGTTGCATATGAAGTGCACACACTTGTCTTAATGGAATGCTTTGTGTTTCAGGATACATTCTTCTACTCCTTGGTATATGATCCACAGCAGAAAACATTATTAGCAGATAAGGGGGAAATTAGGGTCGGTTCAAGATATCAAGCAGACATTACATCGTTATTAAAAGAAGGTGAGTGCGATGTGTGTGATGGTTCTGTGATGAATGTCCGGTTGTTATAGCAGATACTGTACTACATTATCCTGGAGGCTCTTCCTCTGGTGTACTACATTATCCTGGAGGCTCTTCCTCTGGTGTACTACACCACCCTGGAGGCTCTTCCTCTGGTGTACTACATTATCCTGGAGGCTCTTCCTCTGGTGTACTACATTATCCTGGAGGCTCTTCCTCTGGTGTACTACATTATCATGGAGGCTCTTCCTCTGGTGTACTACATTATCCTGGAGGCTCTTCCTCTGGTGTACTACATTATCATGGAGGCTCTTCCTCTGGTGTACTACATTATCATGGAGGCTCTTCCTCTGATGTACTACATCACCCTGGAGGCTCTTCCTCTGGTGTACTACATTATCATGGAGGCTCTTCCTCTGGTGTACTACATTATCCTGGAGGCTCTTCCTCTGGTGTACTACATTATCATGGAGGCTCTTCCTCTGGTGTACTACATTATCATGGAGGCTCTTCCTCTGATGTACTACATCACCCTGGAGGCTCTTCCTCTGGTGTACTACATTATCATGGAGGCTCTTCCTCTGGTGTACTACATTATCATGGAGGCTCTTCCTCTGGTGTACTACATTATCATGGAGGCTCTTCCTCTGGTGTACTACATTATCCTGGAGGCTCTTCCTCTGGTGTACTACATCACCCTGGAGGCTCTTCCTCTGGTGTACTACATTATCATGGAGGCTCTTCCTCTGGTGTACTACATTATCATGGAGGCTCTTCCTCTGGTGTACTACATCACCCTGGAGGCTCTTCCTCTGGTGTACTACATTATCCTGGAGGCTCTTCCTCTGGTGTACTACATTATCATGGAGGCTCTTCCTCTGGTGTACTACATTATCCTGGAGGCTCTTCCTCTGGTGTACTACATCACCCTGGAGGCTCTTCCTCTGGTGTACTACACCACCCTGGAGGCTCTTCCTCTGGTGTACTACACCACCCTGGAGGCTCTTCCTCTGGTGTACTACATTATCATGGAGGCTCTTCCTCTGGTGTACTACATTATCATGGAGGCTCTTCCTCTGATGTACTACATCACCCTGGAGGCTCTTCCTCTGGTGTACTACATCACCCTGGAGGCTCTTCCTCTGGTGTACTACACCACCCTGGAGGCTCTTCCTCTGGTGTACTACATCACCCTGGAGGCTCTTCCTCTGATGTACTACACCACCCTGGAGGCTCTTCCTCTGGTGTACTACATCACCCTGGAGGCTCTTCCTCTGGTGTACTACATCACCCTGGAGGCTCTTCCTCTGGTGTACTACATCACCCTGGAGGCTCTTCCTCTGGTGTACTACATCACCCTGGAGGCTCTTCCTCTGGTGTACTACATCACCCTGGAGGCTCTTCCTCTGGTGTACTACATCACCCTGGAGGCTCTTCCTCTGATGTACTACACCACCCTGGAGGCTCTTCCTCTGGTGTACTACATCACCCTGGAGGCTCTTCCTCTGGTGTACTACACCACCCTGGAGGCTCTTCCTCTGGTGTACTACATCACCCTGGAGGCTCTTCCTCTGGTGTACTACATCACCCTGGAGGCTCTTCCTCTGGTGTACTACATCACCCTGGAGGCTCTTCCTCTGGTGTACTACATCACCCTGGAGGCTCCTCCTCTGGTGTACTACATTATCATGGAGGCTCTTCCTCTGGTGTACTACATTATCATGGAGGCTCTTCCTCTGGTGTACTACATTATCCTGGAGGTTCTTCCTCTGGTGTACTACATTATCATGGAGGCTCTTCCTCTGGTGTACTACATTATCCTGGAGGCTCTTCCTCTGGTGTACTACATTATCATGGAGGCTCTTCCTCTGGTGTACTACATTATCCTGGAGGCTCTTCCTCTGGTGTACTACATTATCATGGAGGCTCTTCCTCTGGTGTACTACATCACCCTGGAGGCTCTTCCTCTGGTGTACTACATTATCATGGAGGCTCTTCCTCTGGTGTACTACATTATCCTGGAGGCTCTTCCTCTGGTGTACTACATCACCCTGGAGGCTCTTCCTCTGGTGTACTACATCACCCTGGAGGCTCTTCCTCTGGTGTACTACACCACCCTGGAGGCTCTTCCTCTGGTGTACTACACCACCCTGGAGGCTCTTCCTCTGGTGTACTACATCACCCTGGAGGCTCTTCCTCTGGTGTACTACATCACCCTGGAGGCTCTTCCTCTGGTGTACTACATCACCCTGGAGGCTCTTCCTCTGGTGTACTACATCACCCTGGAGGCTCTTCCTCTGGTGTACTACATCACCCTGGAGGCTCTTCCTCTGGTGTACTACATCACCCTGGAGGCTCTTCCTCTGGTGTACTACATCACCCTGGAGGCTCTTCCTCTGGTGTACTACATCACCCTGGAGGCTCTTCCTCTGGTGTACTACATCACCCTGGAGGCTCTTCCTCTGATGTACTACATCACCCTGGAGGCTCCTCCTCTGGTGTACTACACTCTCATAAATGCCTTCCTACTGCCTTTATTAATAATATTTTGGTTCAGTTATAAATTATACCTTATTGATTAGTTGACCAAATATGCAATACTGTATATTTATTGCTGAAAGAAGGGAGGAGATTTGCCTTCATATATTTACAAATACTAGCATGGCTCCTACAGATATTTTGATATTTGTAGCAGTTATTCAATTTCCTTGATATTTTCAAAGAAATTTAATAACTCATAACTTTCTCCTGTTCAGGTTAATTGTGACAGCACTCTGAATGATGCTTTACCCAAAAAAATACAGTTGTCTATGACGTGTTTGTTTCCATTTAATTTATTAAATTGTTTTCACAGGAGAAGGTGATGGCCGCAATTTAGAAGAGTTGGAAAGTTTGATATGGACTCCGGGGCATGGCCTTACAGATAGACAAATAGACCAATTTCTCGTAATGTCACGGTCAGTGGGCACTTTCGCGCGGGCTCTAGACTGTTCATCTTCGGTCAAACAACCGTCATTACATATGAGTGCAGCAGCTGCTTCTAGAGATGTTACGTTGGTAAGTTGTTTACAGTACACTTGTTCTTATTGGGGCTCGAATTCCTATTATTGCTAATTATGTCATCAAATTTTGAATTCCACTCCATATACACACAGAGATCACACTGTGATGCATTAAATGAACAAATCCACAAGGGCCGTGACGAGGATTCGAACCTGCGTCCGGGAGCATCCCAGACACTGCCTTAATCGACTGAGCTACGACAGGATACGACAGGCTACGACAACCATGTCGTAGCTCAGTCGATTAAGGCAGTGTCTGGGATGCTCCCGGACGCAGTTTTGAATCCTCGTCACGGCCCTTGTGGATTTGTTCAGTACATATAGTTTTGGCAAAATTTGCATTATACATATATATATATTGTTTTTCAAAATTTAGCTCCATGCGATATCAAGGGCATACCTCAGCTTAAGGGGGCGTCAGATTCCAATTTGCCCTAAAAATGCAACAAATGAAAACTCGTTCGATTTCAATCAAACTTTTTTGACAAGTTCTATATGAAAAGTGTTTCATCTGGTCCAAGTTTCAGCATCGTAGCATAAATAGGAAGGGAAAAAAAATATTGAAGTAGTGAAAATTATTCCAAAATGGTCAAAATCGATTATCAATCAAAAGTGTCAACTGAAATCATAGCTATGACTCTTTGCTATCACAATAGTATATATTAAACAAATATTATAATTAGTTTAATTGAAAAAAAAAAAAAAAAAAATTAATTATTTTTTTTTTTTCATTTTTTTTCGGGCGATTTGCATCAAACTTACACACCTGACTGTACGTAAGCCTATCTGTAAGGACGCCAATTTTGGAGAAAATTGGTTGATGTCAACCTCAGCCACAGATTTTAGAACCTTAGACTTCATTCATTTCTTTTTTTTTTCAATTGACACAAACGTTTACAAAACTGATTCATTTTTTATTCAATTTACATGAAACTTACACAGTATATGTGGAGGGCATGTCTCTACATTGGGGGGCTTTCATTTTTCTCTAAGTTCATTTATTGATTTTATAATAGCAATAAACATGCCATATTTGCAAAAAAAAATTTGGGAACTTTGGACATTTGTATTAGGAAAACTAAAGATGTTTTGGAAATTCTATATCTCAAGGTCCTTTATTATATGCTAATGTGTCAGAAAAGTGTCACAGAATAATTATATCTGAAACGTGTGTTCTGAAGTGTGGACTTGAAAATGTGTAAAAAACGTTGAAAAAAAAACAAAAACAAAAAAATCTCCCTTTCTATTTATGCTGCAGTACTGTAACTTGGGACAATTAAAGCATTTTTCATATACAACTAATCAAATAATATTGGTTGTCATTGAACAACTTTGATTCTGACAATCTGTCGCCCCCTTAAGAGTTTAGAACATTGAGATTATAATGATGTTTATAAGAACATGATGCAATAATATTTTGTTTACAACGCCACTAATGATGCACAACATGTCACATGTAGGAACTAACATGTTCCACATGCCATAATATCTTAGAGTATTATGTTTAGGTCACCTTAGCGTGCTGGCTATTTATGCAGGCCATTTATGTAGTGGAATATAAGCTGGAGCTAAAGATTAATACACTTAGAAGTGAAATTAAGTAAGGTAGTAACTTTGGTTTATGTAATAATTAATAAGTGTTATAGTTATACAGTACTTACAGTTGTTTGATTGTTGCTGTTGCTGTGTGATGAAAGGGGAGGGGACGGGGTTGACTTAGAGAATAGTATTAGGGCTACTGTGTGATGAAAAGGGAGGGGGGTTGACTTAGAGAATAGTATTAGGGCTACTGTGTGATGAAAAGGGAGGGGGGTTGACTTAGAGAATAGTATTAGGGCTACTGTGTGATGAAAAGGGAGGGGGGGGTTGACTTAGAGAATAGTATTAGGGCTACTGTGTGATGAAAAGGGAGGGGGGGGTTGACTTAGAGAATAGTATTAGGGCTACTGTGTGATGAAAAGGGAGGGGGGGTTGACTTAGAGAATAGTATTAGGGCTACTGTGTGATGAAAAGGGAGGGGGGTTGACTTAGAGAATAGTATTAGGGCTACTGTGTGATGAAAAGGGAGGGGGGTTGACTTAGAGAATAGTATTAGGGCTACTGTGTGATGAAAAGGGAGGGGGGGGTTGACTTAGAGAATAGTATTAGGGCTACTGTGTGATGAAAAGGGAGGGGGGGTTGACTTAGAGAATAGTATTAGGGCTACTGTGTGATGAAAAGGGAGGGGGGTTGACTTAGAGAATAGTATTAGGGCTACTGTGTGATGAAAAGGGAGGGGGGTTGACTTAGAGAATAGTATTAGGGCTACTGTGTGATGAAAAGGGAGGGGGGTTGACTTAGAGAATAGTATTAGGGCTACTGTGTGATGAAAAGGGAGGGGGGTTGACTTAGAGAATAGTATTAGGGCTACTGTGTGATGAAAAGGGAGGGGGGGGTTGACTTAGAGAATAGTATTAGGGCTACTGTGTGATGAAAAGGGAGGGGGGGTTGACTTAGAGAATAGTATTAGGGCTACTGTGTGATGAAAAGGGAGGGGGGTTGACTTAGAGAATAGTATTAGGGCTACTGTGTGATGAAAAGGGAGGGGGGGTTGACTTAGAGAATAGTATTAGGGCTACTGTGTGATGAAAAGGGAGGGGGGGGTTGACTTAGAGATGAGGGGGTTTAATGAATTGGTTATGTGAGAATGGCAAAAGGATGGAAATGGTATCTCAAATAAAAAATAGTAATGGCAGTAAGTGAAAGATTTATGCAATGAAAGAGTTAAGATTACTAATACAAATTTTAATTATATATATTCAATATATATATATATAAATACATAGGGTATTTTATGAAATTTTATGCAAGAGTTTAATTGGGTTTGTGGTGGTGAAGGGAAGTATGCTTAAGTGCGGGTGTAATATGTGAGGGATGGCAGGGTGAGAAATGTGTGTAGTGAAGCAATGGCAAATAACCAACATGCATGTCCCACTAAGAATACATATGCTTAATGCTTTTGAAAAGGTGTTAAAAAGCCATATTACCACTTTGATAGAGAGGGAGAAGCTACTTGGCTCAGTTTGTCTTTACAACTCTTGTATTTACATTGTTGCTAAAGTGAAGAAGGTAAGTGGAGGTCATGATGGAGGTAAGAATGTGAAAGAAAGTTGTATGAGAAGGGTTGTAGTGACCATTTTAAGTGATCAGCTCCACTAAATATGTACATGTATGAAAATCCTTTCAGTTTCATGCGATGGACACGTTACACAAGCACAGCTACGACATTAGCAAAGCTCTTTGTTCTCTTATACCTGCCACTGGGCCAGTACTCTGTAGAGACGAGATGGAAGAGTGGTCGGCATCTGAAGCCAACTTGTTTGAGGAAGCCCTTGAAAAATATGGAAAGGACTTCAATGATATCAGACAAGATTTTGTAAGTACTCTGCTATATAACAAAATTATCTGTTTAAAAATAATTAGTGTTTGCTTAGTGATAAAATAAATTAAAATATTTTATATTATTTCCTCAATGTACTGCTTTTCAGCGAGCGAGTATCCACTCGTTCGAGGCAAACATTTAGTCGATACTTGTAGTGTGCAATGTTATTTGTAATATACATAGATATGTTTATGTGTGGGTATTGTTTGCTAGATAACCAGTTGACACGTGTTTATGTTCCACCAGCTACCCTGGAAGACCCTAAAGAATATAATAGAGTACTACTACATGTGGAAAACAACCGACAGATATGTACAGCAGAAGAGAGTAAAAGCTGTGGAAGCAGAGTCCAAATTAAAGCAGGTTTACATTCCTAACTAGTAAGTAGCTCTTTGAAGCATTCTTTACATTCGTAGGATTATGTAATTGTCGAAAGGAAATACAAGTTGGAACCTGACTCGTTCAGTCTCGTCAAATTTATTTGCTGTTGACTGTGATACATAGTATAGTAATCTACTTGCAAATGTTGAGATTTTGTTGTGTATTATGGCGAGCACTTAGTTAATGTGTGTGTGTACAAGCTTGGGTGTGTGCGTCATGCACTAGGCAGTGTACACACAGTGTAAAGGTCATTAATGTGTGTGTGTGTACAAGCCTGGGTGTGTGCGTCATGAACTAGGCAGTGTACACACAGTGTAAAGGTCATTAATGTGTGTGTGTACAAGCTTGGGTGTGTGCGTCATGCACTAGGCAGTGTACACACAGTGTAAAGGTCATTATGTGTGTGTGTGTGTACAAGCCTGGGTGTGTGCGTCATGCACTAGGCAGTGTACACACAGTGTAAAGGTCATTAATGTGTGTGTACAAGCCTGGGTGTGTGCGTCATGCACTAGGCAGTGTACACACAGTGTAAAGGTCATTAATGTGTGTGTGTGTGTACAAGCTTGGGTGTGTGCGTCATGAACTAGGCAGTGTACACACAGTGTAAAGGTCATTAATGTGTGTGTGTACAAGCTTGGGTGTGTGCGTCATGCACTAGGCAGTGTACACACAGTGTAAAGGTCATTATGTGTGTGTGTGTGTACAAGCTTGGGTGTGTGCGTCATGAACTAGGCAGTGTACACACAGTGTAAAGGTCATTAATGTGTGTGTGTACAAGCTTGGGTGTGTGCGTCATGCACTAGGCAGTGTACACACAGTGTAAAGGTCATTAATGTGTGTGTGTGTGTACAAGCTTGGGTGTGTGCGTCATGAACTAGGCAGTGTACACACAGTGTAAAGGTCATTAATGTGTGTGTGTGTGTACAAGCTTGGGTGTGTGCGTCATGCACTAGGCAGTGTACACACAGTGTAAAGGTCATTAATGTGTGTGTGTGTGTACAAGCTTGGGTGTGTGCGTCATGAACTAGTCAGTGTACACACAGTGTAAAGGTCATTAATGTGTGTGTGTGTGTACAAGCTTGGGTGTGTGCGTCATGAACTAGGCAGTGTACACACAGTGTAAAGGTCATTAATGTGTGTGTGTGTGTACAAGCCTGGGTGTGTGCGTCATGCACTAGGCAGTGTACACACAGTGTAAAGGTCATTAATGTGTGTGTGTGTGTGTGTACAAGCTTGGGTGTGTGCGTCATGAACTAGTCAGTGTACACACAGTGTAAAGGTCATTAATGTGTGTGTGTACAAGCCTGGGTGTGTGCGTCATGCACTAGACAGTGTACACACAGTGTAAAGGTCATTAATGTGTGTGTGTACAAGCCTGGGTGTGTGCGTCATGCACTAGACAGTGTACACACAGTGTAAAGGTCATTAATGTGTGTGTGTACAAGCTTGGGTGTGTGCGTCATGCACTAGGCAGTGTACACACAGTGTAAAGGTCATTAATGTGTGTGTGTACAAGCTTGGGTGTGTGCATCATGCACTAGACAGTGTACACACAGTGTAAAGGTCATTAATGTGTGTGTGTACAAGCTTGGGTGTGTGCATCATGAACTAGTCAGTGTACACACAGTGTAAAGGTCATTAATGTGTGTGTGTGTGTACAAGCTTGGGTGTGTGCGTCATGAACTAGGCAGTGTACACACAGTGTAAAGGTCATTAATGTGTGTGTGTGTGTGTACAAGCTTGGGTGTGTGCGTCATGAACTAGTCAGTGTACACACAGTGTAAAGGTCATTAATGTGTGTGTGTGTGTACAAGCTTGGGTGTGTGCGTCATGAACTAGGCAGTGTACACACAGTGTAAAGGTCATTAATGTGTGTACAAGCTTGGGTGTGTGCATCATGAACTAGTCAGTGTACACACAGTGTAAAGGTCATTAATGTGTGTGTGTACAAGCTTGGGTGTGTGCATCATGAACTAGTCAGTGTACACACAGTGTAAAGGTCATTAATGTGTGTGTGTACAAGCCTGGGTGTGTGCATCATGAACTAGGCAGTGTACACACAGTGTAAAGGTCATTAATGTGTGTGTGTACAAGCCTGGGTGTGTGCATCATGAACTAGTCAGTGTACACACAGTGTAAAGGTCATTAATGTGTGTGTGTACAAGCTTGGGTGTGTGCATCATGAACTAGGCAGTGTGCACACAGTGTAAAGGTCATTAATGTGTGTGTACAAGCCTGGGTGTGTGCATCATGAACTAGACAGTGTACACACAGTGTAAAGGTCATTAATGTGTGTGTGTACAAGCCTGGGTGTCTGTATCATGAACTAGACAGTGTACACAACAGTGTAAAAGTCATCAATGTGTGTGTGTGCAAGCCTGGGTGTGTGCATCATGAACTAGACAGTGTACACACAGTGTAAAGGTCATTAATGTGTGTGTGTACAAGCCTGGGTGTCTGCATCATGAACTAGTCAGTGTACACACAGTGTAAAGGTCATCAATGTGTGTGTGTACAAGCCTGGGTGTGTGCATCATGAACTAGACAGTGTACACAACAGTGTAAAGGTCATCAATGTGTGTGTGTACAAGCCTGGGTGTGTGCATCATGAACTAGACAGTGTACACACAGTGTAAAGGTCATCAATGTGTGTGTGTACAAGCCTGGGTGTGTGCATCGTGAACTAGACAGTGTACACAACAGTGTAAAGGTCATCAATGTGTGTGTGTACAAGCCTGCGTGTGTGCATCATGAACTAGACAGTGTACACAACAGTGTAAAGGTCATCAATGTGTGTGTGTACAAGCCTGGGTGTGTGCATCATGAACTAGACAGTGTACACAACAGTGTAAAGGTCATCAATGCATTACTGTATACTGTACTGTCAGTAATTCAGATTCCTGTGCTACATACATTGAAAGGTTTGGACAAATCGGGATGTTTGTAATATTTCTGGATTATATGGCAAAAATTCAGCCCATCTTCCTAAATTGGTAGTAGTTAAGGTAAGTATTTGGTTAAATGTAGTGATAGGTACTGTTGGACCTCCAAATTGTTCCCATTTTGTTGTACTGAATTAGCCCTAATGGCTCTCTTGATAACTGGACATGTAACTAGAGAACCTTATGTAATCTGTGCAAGCAATCCTAAACCTAATATACTCTGTCCTTGTCCTATTGTAGTACATGGCCTAGAACATGTACTACATGTAGTCCATGTACTATATGTACAGTACTACATGTACTACATGTACATGTTCTAGGCCAAGGAGTGTTTGTTTGCGCCTTAGCAAAAGTTTGTTTGCGCCTTAGCTTCACTCTCACACTATAAAAATAATAGTACAAGTCAAACTACACGGAGTAATCACACTAACGTGACTGCATCAACGAGAAAATTTGAAGGAGCAGTGATGAGGGTTGGAACCTAAGTAGTTGATGTTGCCACTCACACACTTGTAGCGTGTACGTGTTAATCATGTTTGTGTGGTTACTCTCTGTGTATTGAAAGAGGAGCATCAGAGGTAGATCAAGTCTTAGTTGACAGAGTCAGAGTGTGTGGGGGACTGTGTGAAAGTCCCGTTTCGGCTTCAGTAGAAGGCTCGGGAAACCCCTCGTGTGTTTGGTAGAACTCCAGGTTGTAATCCTTATGCCTTGTCGTGGACTAGTTGCTAGAAGCGGGTGCGTGGGAACGTCCACCTCGTACGTTTGAACCCACATCACTGCTGCTATTGATTTTCTCATTAAAACTAACTTTTTTTGTTCAACATTACACATTGGTATAGTTGAGAAAATGTTTACTATAAGTAACATCATTTTGGGAGGTTGGGGTGTAACATTTGTATATCTGGGTAATGATAGTTGTATAAACATGCACGAGCCACTTTGTTCATTGCCCATGACAATGTTGTGCAGTATAATACAAACAATAACATATCACAAATATTATTCCTCAAATAATAACAAACAATTGCTGGGTGTTAGAAATGTGTTGGTGTATTCTCGTCACAGTGTGACACCGAGGTGGGTGTAATCACTTTATACAATCTGCCATAAGCATCCAAAATGGTTTGATCTCATTTGATCTGAATACCTGAAGGTATAATGTAAACTATTGTCTGCATTTGTAAATACTGTGTATCATGGTCAACTGTAAATATATTTTATGGATAAGGAACAGGAGTAAAATTAAAATTATTTGGTAATTTGGTACCCTTACACCACATTCAACAAAGAATGTGGTGCAAGGTAGAGGGTAAACTCTTGTATAGTGATAAGTATTTACAGACATTTATTAGTATTAGGCATTAAACTGGGGGGGGGGTACATAAAACATTGTTTTATATATATATATATATATATATATATATATATATATATATATATATATATATATATATATATATATATATATATATATATATATATATATATATATAAATAAATAATGTGTGTGTGTGTGGTGGCTATATATATATATATATATATATATATATATATATATATATATATATATATATATATATATATATATATATATATATATATATATATATATATATATATATATATATATATATATATATATATATATATATATATATATATATATATATATATACATACACACACACACACACACACACACACACACACATATATATATATATATATATATATATATGTCGTACCTAGTAGCCAGAACTCACTTCTCAGCCTACTATTCAAGGCCCGATTTGCCTAATAAGCCAAGTTTTCCTAAATTAATATATTTACTATAATTTTTTTCTCATGAAATGATAAAGCAACCCTTTTCTCTATGTATGAGGTCAATTTTTTTTTATTGGAGTTAAAATTAACGTAGATATATGACCGAACCTAACCAACCCTACCTAACCTAACCTAACCTATATTTATAGATAAGGTTAGGTTAGGTAGCCAAAAAAAGCTAGGTTAGGTTAGGTTAGGTAGGTTAGGTAGACGAAAAAACATTAATTCATGAA